TATTATTTACACACAACATGTATTTTATATATGTGTATAGTTTTTTATATGTATACAATTAAAACATATTAAATAAAGTTTATCTCGGGTATTTTGAGCCCAAATTTAAAGCGTAGTTTAACAAGAGTTCTTTAACGAGACATAAAATCTGTCGGCATTTATGTCAGCCGCCGGTTTATTAATTAATAATTTCATTATTCGAGCTTTCTCGCGTATGTCGTTAATAATGCAAACAAATAAAAATGTTTAGAAACAAAATATTGTTTCTATCAAATAAAAATAAGTGTAATTGTATAATGCGGCGCTTTGAGTGCAGCTAGTTCATTATTGAGCTTGCTATATCTTTCGAGTACTTGCACTTGCGAGAGCAAATTCGTGTCCTTCTTGAGCCCTCGAATTCGCTTCTCGGCTGCGCGTCGCTTCACTAACGTCTGCACACATGAATTGTTGACTTGTACTACTGCGAAACTAATGTCGGCTTAAAGTCGACGCAATGTTCCTATTTTACGTTGCATTCTGATGGATTCGCTATCTTAAATGGAGTATACACGTAAAAAGTACACAAATATTATCTAACATAAATTGTGCAAAACGAATTTAATTACAGTTTAATATAAAATAATTAATTTAAAAAAATAGAATAATAGATTTATATAAAAGTTTTAGTTTTTTCTCGATAGAAAAGTTTATAAAATTTTTCATATTTTTTGTTCAATAGTACATTACTTTGACAATGTTTAATATCGCAATACGATTTGTTTGAATAAATTTTTTTAATTATGCATAAAAATAGTTCAAAAATTATACATCTATTGTAGTAGTTGAAGTAAAATGCAAGGAAAATTACGAAGTACATCTTTACTCGTTATACTCTATAAATACATATATGCGCGATATGTTTACTCGTCTACACAGTCGAGTGGCAAACAATGCATTTTAAATGCTTCGATTTCGCGCGGCAAACACACGGAAAGCAATATCGTCAACTGTATTGACGCTAGGATAAAGAGAAGAATATTGCGCTTGGTGATTATATGTGCCTTTGCATATACGCGTTCCCTTGGAACGTTGGCGTATCAAATCTTTTGCGAGGTGACTTTGTTGCACGCATAATGCAGATTGAAGCGAACAACCACGTATTTTCCACTTCCCCGGCTGCTAGCTGGGGAGCTTTTATGAAAGTTAAAGGCTTTCTTTTCGATCGTTCCCGGAGGAGTCTTATTATTCCGCGCGAAACGACCATCTGGAGAATATTTATAATGAAACTTCAAATTTGCATAATTACAGTCGAAAAAGTAAAAAGTGATTATTCAGTGCGCGCGATGATATCTTTTATAAAAGTCTTTTGCAGAATTATATTAATATTAATATTATTTAAGAGAGAAACAAGATTAACCTAAAGTTGTCTCTTACTTCACATTGTACAAAATTTACTAATCTGTTTTTATATTACATATTTAAATAATTATCGATAATTATTCTTCTGAATATATTACATAGTTGCGAAAGCATGGTATTTGCAAGTTTACACTTTCGCAGCATGTGTGTATCGTCCACAATCAACATTTGAGTCAAGTTTGGTATCGCGTGCTTCAATTAATCGAATTGCCACGAGAGAGATGGCACAAACAAATTCACGATGCGCACTGCATAGTTTCTGTTTGGCAAAATAAATAAACTCTATGGAATTCGCACCTGCGACAAAACTTAATTTTCGAGAAAGAGACAAGCCCGGAAGGAGAAATACAAAGGACGCGATGGTTTCTTGGAGCAGAGTCGCGACGTGTGCAATATGTTATAACGCTGAGCGGCGTGAATAGGGTTCGTCGAGAGACACTTTGTGCTTCCCGTGCTAAACTCACGTAAGCGTAAACATGGCCTTGCGTAATACGCCGCATTAAACTAGCACAAACTCGCGTGCAATGGCCTAAGTTTTGATCACGCCAGACCACGCGCGCAGAGGTTCTCATAGAGTTTTCTACTTCACTATACAAGTTTCGTTCTGATATTTTCCGCGTGCTGCATCTCTTATACATGTGAGAAGGAGTCGCGTGTTGGCGCGCTCATTTCCGCTAGTGATATTTACGTTGCACTTCTAAATCAACCTTGAGCGTATATATGTTCCGTTATGAGCAAAATTTTCTTGTTTACATTCAACATATTCAGCCGAGTAATGTATCTACTAATGCGGTATTTAATTAAGTCGCCGAAACTTTTCGCAAAGTTTGTGTGTTTGATATAAAAAATGTGTACATAAAGTTGCAAAATGAGCTTGGTTTCACGTTAAAGATAGAACGAGATTGGCCAACGAGATAAACCAACAATCAATTGGTCAGTGACGAATAAAAATAATATAATTTAATTTAATTCATTCGTTATTTTAAAAAATAATATACTTGCAATTTAAATTCACATCCGATTAGGCGCGCGTAATTCTTCAAGAAGAAACTGTAAATTTGCTCCGAGAATAATCAGTACGTTTTGGGTTGTTTTTTATATTTCTCTCTCTTGAATAGTAATTCTTCAAATATATGTTATATCTAGGTACGCACGATTAATTACGACAGCAGAGAGTTCAAGTAAAGCATTGTAATTTATCTTGCTACTCTTCGCGCCGTCGCAATTTGCTCGTCTCGTAGAAAAGCTGTTTTCTGTCATATGTTGTTTTCACGTGTGCGCGCTTAATAAATTACGTGTGTGCGTGTATGTGTGTGTGTGTGTATGTATATGTATATATATATGTATATATATATATATATTATTTATAGATTTTCCACCTCTCCGGAGAACATCACCTAACTTGCACACACATTTCAGAAACAAACGGAGTCGAAAAATATATATAAAAATACAACTGCTCGTGACACTTGACGTTGTTTGCATCTCAGTCTATAATTAATATTGGACCTGTGGAAAGTCCGCTGCAGATACGCAACCAGACAGTTAGCAAGTACATATATACAACCGATACATATATAAGTTAAAGATTTTAGTTTTGCAAACAATTTTATCGGATGAAACATCGTCGGTAATTAAGCGCGAAAAGTTGACGGAAAAACAGAGAGGCCAAAATATTCCTCACAAGTCGAATCAAGCCTTTTCTGTGACAGTTTTCTCGAGCGAACGTTAACAGGAGGGTGCCGTTTACGGCGGCTTTACCGCGCTCGCGTTCCATCCGTGAAGGTCGAATGTACGTACGTCACTTTACCCGTAATTATTGTACAAGCGAGCTTAATGCGCTCTGCGAATGATACCTATTTGCGAGCGCAGACGACGCATTACATCGGATGCCTCTCAACGTTGCGTAATACGTGTATATTGACCCCCGTATTAACGCGGCTAAAGTTCGCCTTGTCTGCGTCGATATTTCAAAATCGATCCGCGTACGTACAGCCCTCGCGGAATGGGAAAACGCGAAAACGCGATTAAACTTAATTTTCCATCATTTAATCCGCCAGAAAATTATGAATGTCGCTAACCTGTCGCGCTGCAAAAGCACACCGAATTTACTTATGTACTGCAGTTTGCAAAATTATTATACAGATAAATCTCGTAATGTTGTAAAAATATACTATTATCTTCCTGCCGCTAGATAGAATATGAAAACTTTGCGCAAGAATAGCGAGAATTTTTGAGATGCGCGCGCGTTAATATGATGTATCCATTGAAATATTTCTTCGTTTTAACTATGTCTGCTGCAGCCAACATACATTTAACAGTTTTGATAATAATAAGTTACATCAAAAGCGCGGAAATATTGTATTTGTTTGACGAACGTGATTCCGCTCGGCGACGCTCTAATTGGAGATTATTATTCGTCGGGCGCGCGCTGTCGCCAAAATTTATGAAATTAACGTACGTTTGTCTAAGTTACACGTTGTTTGCTAAATAATTCAAAATTTGTGAGATGTGACTCGTTTTGTATTTTTGGTAATATGAATTATTTCTAAAATATCTTTGTTGAAGAAAAATGTACAAAAAGAAAAAAGCTACAGAAAGAAAAAAAGCTTAATAGAATAAAAAAAAAAACAAATAATAAGCAGAAAAAGTATATTTAGATACAGTTACTTTTCTTTTTTTTTACGTTTGTATTTTTCCTTTGTTTGTAAAAAGATATAAAAATCATACAAGAATATAGCGATGAAAATTATTTTGCCGCCTAATGCACGCAACTATGTTTACTAACATTAATTAAACCTATCAAATTATCTTTATCCTCTGACCCCTTTGATTTAAACGTAAAATATTTGCAAATGGGTAGAGACTAGAGAAGTGGTACTTTTCAGTACATATTGCATTAACGTACAACTGGAACGTTTCTCTCGTCGCACCCTCTTATTTCATTGTTTGCACAGGCGAGGGTGCGTACGCGAGAGATGGAATGCTCAGGAAAAGTGATCGTTGGAAGATGCTTGGTTTCTCACGTGGATTTCATTGTTTTCTTTCGCGTTATATATCTGTCGTAGTATTCCGAAACGAAAGCTCAACGAGCGTAGAACAGTGGTACATCAAAGCGCACGACTTGTTTCTTTCGATTTCGCTGAGCTCGATTATTTCTTATTCAACATTTTCTCCGAGAACGAAGAAATTGCGTTTTTTTTTTTTTTTTTCATATTTTTTTTCAATAAAACAAAAGCGTATCACTTGTTTGTATTTTACAAAAACGCATGATGAAATTTAGTTTATCAGAAAAACTAATTTAATTAGTAAAACCTAATTTAACTAGTATATTTAACATTTTTATAACTTAATATAATAATAATGTTTTTAAATAGTGCAAAACTGCAACCATTAAAACACATTTGTGTGCGTTCAAAACATTCAATTTTTTAACATTATTTGAAGAAAGATATTTTTTATTTTGCATGATTTAAAGTTTAGCAAACCAAAAAAAATATTAAACAAAATAATCTTATAATTTTTTCGCGGAATCTTTCCTCTTTAATTCACTCGTAAAGAAGCAAGCATAACGAGTAGCAGTGTGGAGACATTTATATTACCTTTTGGCAAAAATCCAGCGTGTATTAGCCTCGCTTCCATGAGCAGAGAGGGTAGGAGAAAGCACATGGCCGTGCAAAGATGCACGAAGGCCGCCGTAGGACCGCCGTGTCTCCATAAATTATTTGCCAGACCTAAAAAAATCATAATTATTATTTCGCGCTCATAACAAACTATATATCATAATTAAGAAAACGACTGAAAAAATTCACAAAACATAAAATTAAACGTTGAATTTTACATATAATAATCTTGACATATCGTTGACATGAGTTAAAAACACAATTTATATATACTCACTGTTATCGGGATTATTGGTGAGAAGCGAAGACGGTGGATCGCGTGAACAGGCGCTTAGATGTCGACCCAATTTTATTCCGTCATTCGCGAGATTGCCGAGCTTGAAAGCTGCGGCGCCAACCAATACCGGAAGTAGAACGGCTCCCACGCCAGCCAACACCACACAAGCGTACAATTCGATATTAGGTGGCGGCGCATCTGCCGGCCATGGTAGTGACAAGTAAGCTGGAAGAATAAATGTTATATCGTGTAAATAAAATGTGTCACAAACTGAACTAAAATGTAATAAACTATTTAAATGTAATAAAATAATTAAACGTAATAAATCATATGCGGATTTATTTAAGGTAATATATTACACGAGCAATAAAATATTTTCCAATTTTTAATTTTAATTTCATTCCTTTACATTGATTATAAATAAGTAATAAATTATTATTATTCACACCAAGTTGCAATCAATAAAAGTCAAAATATTATCAAGAAAATTGATATTGGGTTACTACAATGTTATTAATTTATCTACTTTACTTTGAATCTACGATAATTTAACTATATCGTTTCTATTTCTCTATCACTGTCTGTTAATCCGATCAAGAGATAACGGGATTAAAATCAATTCCTAGTGCAAAAACAGATAAGCACGAAATATTTCACAGACTGTTCCATTGCTATCTAGTGTATTTCTTTACGTAATGACCGTCGATACCAAAAGCCTTGCACCAGCTGCCAAGAGAAGAAATTTACGCAAAGCCGCCGCTGGAAACGGCCGGAAAATAAGGAAAGGCAACGAACCATTCGGAGAACCTAGCTCCGAAGTTTTACTGATTAAAGTAACTTGAAACGCGCGGAAGAAAAGAAGAAAACCCCTTCGAAGTCGCTAATGTAATAGCTACGTTTCTTTTTCTCTTATAATACTCCGCCTAAAATTATAAATCAAATGATTCCGCAACACATAAAAAAATAAATAAAAAGAACATATCGTTTATAAACTATATTTTATGTTAGTATTAAAAGCATTACAAGAATAACATCATATATAACTTTTGCAAATATATTTTTTTAGTATATCTGTCAACTTGAAGCGTAATAATAAATTGATATTTTATTTGAAACAAAAAGTAAAATCACTAAACCAGAAAAGTAAGTTTTCAGATTGATGTTATCAGTACATTCGATTCCACGGAGAAAGAGAGAAAAAGAGAAAGACAGGCATATTTCAGCGGAATAAAAGGAAACGCTATCTTACCGGCGAATCGTCGAGCATATCTCATTGCTATATACGCTTGAAAAGCGACAGCCAGGATGCCGTACCAGACGGACCAGAGGCTGTTCACATGACCACGTATACATGATTCCTTCCTCGTTGATTTTCGTGCTTTCTTCAATTTGCTCGTGTTCGTCGTGATACCACTCGAGCTTATGCTCGACACAACTGGCAACGGCTTCAACGGCTTCTTACACTTGGCCTGGTTCACATCGTTGTTGTTCTCATATCCCATTAAGCTCCCAGTCATCGACATTTTGTCCTGCAACACACAAATGTTTATACTTAACACAATTTAAAGCAACGTAAACATTGTAGACAAAACTTCTCTTGTCAGTATTTTAAGTCAAGGATCTTTGGAAAGAAACTCATAATTTGCTCAATTTTTTATCGATAATTTTTGTCTTAAATTTAAAAAAAGTTGTCTGATATCAAGTTTCTTTATAATTATATTATATTTTGCAAGTAATTATCTTCTGATTAATATTAATATAACTCGTCGAAAATTGGTAAGGCGAATAATGGCAGTACGTATCTTCTAATTATTTCTGTTACATGTATTTTGTTCAAATTATAATCAAATATTTCATAGATCTCACGATTTATCGACTCGATCTGATTTCTTACATTTCAATTGCTCCTCATCCTTTACCCGAATAATTATCCGAACCGTAAAATTCTATCTCACGAACGACTCGAGTCATTTCCATTTTGCTCGACTACCACGCGGGAGTTTCAATGCGTTCTAACAGTTTATCTCTCGTGCGCCATTGAGTCTTCTGGAAGATTCTTTTCTCCCGTTGTATCTTTCCCGCTGCTACCTTCCCGAGAAGCAGCTCATGGCTTTTCCCATTCGCGCCCTTTTTTCCTCTCTCAACGGTATTTTACAGTCACGTTGTACGGAACCAAGGAAACTTTGAATATGATTATGCTAAAATATTAAAACAAAGTTTATTATATCTCTTCCTTTTTTAAATATTAAAAAGAATTTGACATAAGCGCGAACATACGCAAAACAAATGTTAATATAATTTGTTTGATATTTCGCCTTCCATATACGTATATTATAATGTGATGGATTGCATCTGCCTCATTACAAAAACTTACTTTACTTGCAAAATGCGCGTGTTACTTTTATTAATAGCTCGAGATAGATGTCAAAGAAAGAAGAGCTGTTCTTTTAATTTTGCGGCTATTTTGTTTTTTTTTTTTATTGAACGACGCGCTGTTTCTAGAACTCACTGAGGAAGAATACCGCGAGCACGCCTATACCTGTTATCCTATTTGATTATGAGCTTTCGCAGCCCCTCGCGCTCAACCAACCTTTCCGAATCCGAGGGTTGTAAAGTGCAAAGTTTTATGATCGTTTTTGTTGGATTCGTTCCGCGATAAAATTTCAAGGAGGGAACGGATGACGACGGTGCGTGCGAAGAAGCACGTGCGTGACCGTATCAGGAACCTGAGGCGTGTATTCGCCTTCCTGTTTCACGATCTGAGAATTTATAGTCCGTTCGCGTATAACCCAGCCACGAAATCCTACTTCTTTGCAAACTTTTTTTTTTTCTCAGAAAAAAACGAATATGTTCGATATCTCAGAATGCTTCTTTAAATTCACGGGTCAGTAGATAAACTAAAGTACAGAGATGTTTAAACATCTTTAATAGGTTTTTACAAAATAAAATGAGTGTCACTGCAAAACCAGCAAACTCCACTCGCGCGTATTTTGAGACATAACAAAAAACTGTTCTGACTACTTTCAAAATACATAATTTAATTTAAAGATTCTACTGCTTTAGAAGCACATATATTAACCATAATGTAGATTTGATAATAAACTACACATTGAGTAATAATAATTGAAAAATGTTGAAAAGTAAAGATTACTGCATGGTTTTACTTGATATCTCAAATAATATGTTAAAAGTTGAAAAACTTCTACATTCAAATTAAAACTATTTTTACTTTACAAAAGTTCTTTTTAATAATTTAACCAGTTTATTTATAAGGTTTAAAGATATACTTGTTGTTTTAATTATTATGTTCGAGTACCAATTATCTTTAAACAATATATCTATAAGCAAGCATAAATATCATAAATCTTTTTTATTAAAGCAAAACGTTTTCTTTTTATAATAAATTGGTTTGAAATATAGATTTTTTAGAATAATGCAAACAAATACACATAAATATACGCTTGCGTAACGTAGCCAGTATCCATATAATTATGTTAATTACCAGTTTAATAAAAAGTGTTAGAAAGCTCTACGAACTATTTAAGTTTTAAATGTTCACAGTACAATATTACATAGCTCTTTAACTTCCTCGGTATTATCGAAGTGATAGAAGATTCTTGAAATTAGCTTTCATGGTTGAAGAATTGCGCTTAAAAGTCGCCAACGGATTTCGAAAATCTTTCGTTAAGTTCGTCGGCTCGCCTTTGGGAGCGTAAAATCCTCTTCGTGATTCATTTGAAACTTTCGTTCTATGTAGTATAACGAAACCTGGTCAAACGACAAAAAAGTTCGCGGCTGCATAAACAGTGTTAACAATTTAATTACACATCGTACATATATAAATTATTCTAATAGAAGTTCTTTAATAAAACATATAAAAATAGTGTAATTCTATTATAATATTAAAAATGTTACAATCGTATTTTATTTACATCATCAAAACTTTTGTGTACTCTTTTCCCGAATTTTTAGCTAATAAATCGCGTTATAGAGCGCTGGTAATTTACACTCTCCAAACATAAAATTGATATTTAAGTTTTTTAGCAGAAACTTACCAGATTACTCTGTTGAGGTTTCTAAAATCTCTTTTCTGCGCAATAATTGATTCGAAGATCTAGCATCTTTGGCGCTGACAGCACCTGAAACAAATACAACTGAATGAGGTAGTAAAATTGAATTAATAATTTAATTTTTATATAATTATAAAGTAAGTAGAGTAAAATAGTCATAATAGTCATAATTGACACTTTACAGACCTTGCCAATTTTTCTCAAAAGTGCCACCTAAAGAACTTTTAACCAAATTAACCTAATGTAATATCAAGTAAAAACTACAAAAAATATATAACAACTAGAAAAAAGACAACTAGAAAAAATATTAGCAACTAGAAAAAAAAATCAATAAGTATCAATCATTGGAAAGTTTCAACTATAGATTTCAGCTTGCGTGTTGTGTACAATATTTTTTACATATTAATAACACAATTAAACAGTGATTAGCTGAGTTACTTGGTTGTACGGTTTATCGTGTTTATTCTCGATGCAAGAATGCTACTTAAGAAGAAGCTAACGCGATTCGCGAGAATCCTTAGTTGATCGATAAAATTTGGTGTTTACACAAACCGAATATTGAACTTGCAGACGTCTGGATAAGCTTGTGTTAATTACACGCTACATATCCGCATTTACGTGGTTTACACAATTCGCGCGCTTTGCATTACGTTAAACGATTTGTTATATATACGCATATATTTGTTATATATTACAAACCGCATTATTGTAACGCATGCGTATGTGCTAAAAATTCGTCGCACGATAATCAAATAAAAATAACACATGTAGCAGCTGCATTCGTAATTCACTCTGTAACTACTTAATTTCTACAATTTACATAATTTTTAAGACCATTTCCAAACAAACTTAAAGAACAGAAATTGTTTTTTATATAATTTTCTCTTATAAACGTAATTCTTTGGATATTGCTCGGGTTCTCAAATTATTTGATACTTAATGTATTCTTGTCATTACGAGTCAACATTGAAACAATTGCGTTTTCCTGTCTCACTTCATTCTTTTCAGCGGTCAATTTCACAAAGAGAAAGATAACATAGCGCCATCAGACTGATTACAGTTTCGTATATTACGCCGTCTGAACACACCACCTGAGCTTTCTTCCAGAATGATGTTTTGCCATTGTACGTACCGGTAGTCCGAGTCGGAAAACGTAAGCTTGTGTGGCTCGGTATAAGAAGGTAAAATCACGAGTTCATTAATTTCATCTCTCGAGGCAAACCTCGAGCCATACAAAGCACGCCTGTGAATTAACATGTTGCATAATATGAATAAATACCTACGGCGAGAAGTTGAACAAGCGCGAGTTTTAAAACCATGTCACACACAATAACACTTCTATATCCGAGCTACGGAGAGAACTTTCAATTTTTCACGCACAAAGCAAATATTTTTCTTAACGTTAATTAAATCAAAATTAAGTTACCGTACACATATGAGAGGTGAGAAATAACGCATAAAAATCAAACTCGATAAATAAAGAGAAGGAGAAGTGGAAAAACAACACATGACTAAAGTTACATGACTAAAGTTACATGACTGTACTTTAGTCACGTGTCTTTAAAAACGTGACTAAAGTAGAGTCATGTGACAGGGAGAAGAGGAAAAACAACACATGATTGTAGTATGTTTAGTCATATGTCTTTGAAAACCAGATTGACATATCGCAGTACTCGTCAACACACAGAATAACGAAACAAAGCATGACCGTCTTACAAACAATATAATACACATATGAGAGGTGTCAGAAATAACGAATGAAAATCAAACTCATGATTGTCAGAAATAATACGTGAAAATCAAAATCGTGATTAAATCAATTAAAGTCAAAAGTTAACATCTACATTAAGTTAATTCAGCAAAATAATATGTACAACGTTAAATCACACAAATACGAATATTAATCACATAGTACTTTTTTCATAACGATACAAGTGGCTGAAATTATTATATTTTGTGTAAAAAATTATGTGAGAATATATTAATAATATACATTAGTAATTGTTTCCATAAGAGAACAACGGTATAAAAAAAAATATAACTATTGTAACAAATATGCACAAGTGACGATAAAATGACAATCGATTTTTCGGTGTGATTTTTAGTAATCACGCAGAAAATTGCCATGACTTACCGAGGTCAATCTCAGCCTCCGCGAAATTCCTGCGTATCGCGTGGCGTCTGAACGTGCCGGTAATTACATCATTTCGCAATAAATCAGAGCCGTGCGCACCTCATGGCATTAATTATCCGTCACATCGTGTAACTGAACGCTGCTTACACGCAGAGTGGTAAAAAATTTCCTCCCATGAGGTCGGGCGTGAGAGAAGAATGTCCACTTCAATAAAATGCTTGCGCGCGCGACGCTGATTTATCGTTCGTGTGATTTTCGTCACGCGCGTTACTCACACATAATACTCACGAGACATTTGTGACAATAAAAAAAACGAAAAGAATCGAGAAAATTTTGCTAAAAGATTATTCATCGCGCGATTTTTTGCATGTAAAACCTTGCAGGTTCACTTCTGTCGCAGCATCGCTTCCGCGCGTAGGAAAATGAAAATCGTGATTAATTCGCAGCCGAGATTTTAACATAGCGAGCGTTGGTATCTCTAGATGAATTATTGCGCGCGAGCAAAGAATATCCGGAAAGTTCTATTATTTTGCTGGGAAGAGTGAAAATTCGAACATGGAAGGTCGAGATTGATTTCGGAGGCTTGGCCGTTTTGCCGAGTTGGCGGCTTTCTTCTTTCGCGAAAGCTGTGCCGTATTTTTTCTTACCTTATTGTCTGTGTTCATTTCTCCGCGTTTTTTGTAAGCTACTATTTCGGTTAGATTAGGTTGGATTATCGTTTGCCCAGATAAAGCTTTGGAAAGAGAGATTTATATTATTAAATAGAATAGAACACATGTGCACACAATTTCATGATTGAAAATAAAAACAAATCGTAAGACAATGTGAAGATATATATATATATATATATCTTTCCTAGATATTACGAATACCTATATATACATATATGTATATATATATATATAGGTATAGTAGTACTCAAAGACTAATATTCGTATTCGGATCTTATTTGTAAGATCGTTTTAAATTTATTTCTTATGATGAATTCGTATCTAAATAAAACGACCTGTACAATTTCTTAATATAAACTTGCATATAGAGATGATTTTAAATATAAGATCAGACTATAAATACTGCCAAAAAGAACTTTGTTATCACATGTCTAATACAAAAAGATACTCGTTATACGTATACATATTATATTTGAGGAAAAAAGTCTTGACATTACGAAGTCAACTTGTTAACTTCTATTATTGTATTATTATTACGCCTAATAATGTCCAAACTGATACTCTCTTCGAACAATATATTTCCCAGGGAAGACAAAATATAACATGGAAGTTCATTATCTCGCTGGAGAGCGTGAAAATTCGAAAGCGGAAATCAGGTGCGAGTTTTTGAACTTTCGCCGAGCTTGCGGTTCCGCGAGCTTGCAATCGTTTTGTCTCTGCTCCTCCGCCCACTTTCGTGTCTTTTTTCATGACGTCTGTTTCTCCCACATGCGGGTGTTGCGCCAAACTCAACGCGCCGTTACAATTTAAAGAAAGAAGCGCCCTCAGGAAATAGAGACTGATTTTGAGAGATTTCCTAAAGTTGGCAAAGGGGGTGGAAAAGGCAGAGCTTAAAGCTCCGCAGGGGGGGGCGGGAACCGCTGATTCGGAATTCTCTCAGAAAGGGATACGAGCAGAGGCGAGGGTGCGATGCGGTTAGAAGTTTTTGAGATTGTTTGCCATGCTAGCCGAATATAAATCGGGTTTAACTCCTCGGTTTCTTTTTCGTATGGTTAGGCAAATGTGGCTTTTACGGGCGCTCGTAAGAAAACGGACATTTTTAATTCACTTGGCTTCTCGTCTTCTCTTACTGCTTGAATTCAACCGAACGAAGTAAAGTGGCGCTCTTTCGTTCCCGATTGTTATCCCCCCTTCTGCAAAAAATTATTTTATATTATTTTTACTGGAATAGCGCGGCTTCATATATGAATAAAATAAAAAGGTTGCAAAATAATACTAATTTTTTTATTCTTTCTTTTGACAAAGAAATCGCACATATAAATAATCACATGTTGATTTTTACACAATTGTTTTTGTCGTTTGCAAGTTAGTTATATACGAAGCAATATATCTGTTTTTAGTTCTTATACTTCGCAGTATAAATATCTGTCGAATGTCATTCGTCACGGACGCATTAGACATGATCGAGAATGCACTTCGCGTCTAAAGTGCCGGATTCTAGGCGCGTTACCGAAAGATCTTTGAGAACGTGCGAAGAATAGACAGGAAAAAGGGCGCCAGTTAATGGAGAAATGTGTATTGTCTGGTCTGGAGAGATAGTTACTTATGTTATCCATTTGTGGGCGTCTCACAAATCGTCGTTTCATGGCGCACGTACGTATCGCGAATGATCAATGCATATATGTACGTACACGGGAACGGAGAAAGGAGTCTCGTACAAAAGAGTCTCGAGACGCATGTATGAGAGTGGTGCGTGATAATTCTAGAGCCCTTACCGTCACGACCCATCGCTTGAAGCCCTTCTATTTCTCTCGAAACACTCGAGAGTCATTCTGTGAGGTTAACTGTTGCCCCTTTTTACTATGTAATGCATGTCTTTTGACACGTGACAGATTTGCGTTAATTGCAACTCTACTCAGCGGAACTTGACACACCACTGCGATCGAAATATCTTCACTTCCGACGCGCTCATTGACGTTGATATAATCGAGAATATTTCCTGCGAGTGTCATTCTGTATTTCGATTTTTTGGTTACATACGAAAGTGCAGGATTTCATACGCTAAATTAGTAGTCGGTAGTGAAGTTTATTTTAAAAAATAATAGAATAGGAAATAGAATAATAATTAGTATTAATTATAATATTTCACTGATGAGTGAAATATTTGTAATTATACAATAATTTCTTACTAATATTTTTACTTCTTTGTACATTAAATTGATAGCAGTTAGAAAGTACTAATAATTTCTACTCCCTTGGTTCTGACACAATAAAATTCA